CTTTATGACTTTGTCACCCGTAGACCTGCAGGTCTGAATGTAGCTAGCAGCTAGGTGCGAGATTGGCAGTCCCGTATATATCTATACACAACAGTCACGCTCTCCCTACAAGAGACTCTGGTCACAAGTGCTAGTCCTACACTCTGATTTTGTGGGAGTGTTACCAAGGACGTGTCTCCAACTTAGACTAACAAATTTACAAGTAATAATATAGAAAATCCTTTTGTGATTAACACGAATCCTTTATAAAACAATACATTTTACTACATGATTCGTAAGTTCATTGCTCTAGTTTTGAAAACTGTTTCTACGAGTTGATTTCTTAATCGTTTGGTAAAACTGTTTTCCGTGTTAAAAGCATACTGAAAATATAATTATCTTAAACAAAAATAATATACTTTAAGCACAAGTTTCCTTGTACTTTTGCTTGTATTCCCCCCTGAAAACATTAAAAACTCGGAAAAAGCGTAGGGGTATGAACACACCTCGGGCGATTTGAATGAAGGATCGATACGGAATGCGGGATGTTCAAGTGAAGCCTTGAACACGATTTGATCCTAATTAACATGTAATGACACATAAAGGAGTCAAATGAAGGTATTTCCCTACTAAATGTGATAGAGAACCACTCTAGGAACTTGGGACTACTTACACTAAGTGTTAGAACCTTAAAGGATAGCATGAGGGAGGTGTATGGCCACCTTAAAGGTGTGTGCGGCCATGGGTGTGCGGCCCAAGGGGTGTGCTGCCGTACACTCATGATGGAAGGTGCCTTTGAGGGGTTTTCAAGGTCCATACTTGCATCCATGAAGTGTTCTAGGTCCATACTTAGTTGTAGTACAAGTTTAGGGTCTTAGAAATGGGTTTGTAGTACACATGAGTGTGCTGCCGCACAAGGGAGTGTGCTACCTCACACATGAGTGTGCTGCCGCACAAGGGTGTGTGCGGTCGTACACAGGCGTGTGCGGTCGTACACCCTACATGTTTGTGGCCAAAAAAACCAATTCTAAGGTGCAGCAAGGCTTTGGTCATGTCTAACTCGAAGATGGAAGTCCAACTCTCACTTTGGAGGGTCTTTTAGGAGTGTGAGGCCACCTTATGTGGGTGTGCGGCCGCACTCCTTCAAAGAGATGAAGAACATGACGGGACATGATGAATAAAGGCTTAGATCAAGAGGCTCTTCAAGCACAATAAGCTAAGTGATGGATTACTCACGTTTTTGAAGCCTTGGGAGGGTTTGTGGTTGAAGAAGCTTGAGAGAAATGGAGTGGTGTGCTGCCAAGGTGTTAAACGAATGAAAGGAAAGGGGTCTACCCTTTATATAGGGGTGGGTGTGCTGCCTAGGAGTGAGTGTGCGGCCAAGAGGTGAGTGTGCGGCCGTACACTCCCCCTAAAGGTGTGTATGGCCCGGTTTTGTCACCCTACGGCTTGCTGACTCATTCCTAACCTCGACCTTGGTTGTACTCAAGCTTAGAACGCTAAAATGAACCCTTAATCAATGCTAAGAGTTAACAGAAACGAGTTTAACGTTGATTGAATTGACTAAGTGTACAAGATAAAAGTTTCGGCTTGTCACACACATGTATGATATTTAAAGGCCCAATAAGCACGCAATGAGTATCCAAGGTCCGTCGAGCATGTAAATGGGTCAACAAGGCCCAATAAACATGTAAAGAGTATTCAGGACCTATCAAGCATATAAATTGGTCACTAAGGCCCAATAAACATGATAATGACATAATTAGCCCATTTGTTATTATTTTTCTAGTTTTAGCTCTATTATTTACCATAATGACATAAAAGGCCCACTTTTTGTAAAAATGACATTCTTGGCCCATTAAGCCAAGAATTTAAAATTAAGGCCCATTTTTGGTAAAAATAACATTTTAGGCCCCTTTTTAGAACAAAACTTGCATTTAAGGCTAGTTTTTGTAAAAATAACATTTTTAACTCACTTTTGTCAAAAATATCATTTTGGCTTGATTTTTATAAAAATGTGCATTTTCGGCCCATTATAGATAATTTCATCTTCTTGGCCCAAAATTTTATATTTTCACATTTTTAATCCCTCTTATCAAAAATTTACATTTTTGGTATAATTTTGTTGAAAATGAAATTTAAGCCCACAAAAGTCCAAAAAGTTATAATTTTTTGCCCAAAGTCGTAAGAAGCCCAAATAAGGCCCATTTTTGTGAAAATTGACATATTTAGCCTATTAGAACCGTGAAGGCCCATATAGAAGCCCATTTACGAAAATTTACACTTTTGGTTACTTTAAAACCATGAATATTATAAAGATCCATTTTGATTTAGAAATGAATCTTTTGGTCTTTTCAAGAACCATGGGTTATCATGAGAACCTCATTTTTGTTTATTTTGTCAAAATTAGCCCTCGTATGCAAAGTTCTTAGTTTTAAGTAACTTGTAGGTATTTTAAAACCATTTCCTTGTAAGATATGATGAAATGAGTGTTATGTTATACCAATAGCATCATCTTCTA